AAATAAAAATAAAAAGAGACACACAAAGAGAGATTTTAAAAACCCATTCGGGTTCACAACAATGAGTTTGCAGGGAAAGAAAGACCACTAGTGGGAAGAAGGGGAAGGATGTAAACGATGTATCATTTAGTGAGCTTCTGGTGTGTCTGAGAAACTACTGGGCTTTTTATTGATAAAAAATTTAAAGATATTCATTTGTAAAATATATTTAAAGAATAAGAAACATACTAAATATATATTACAAGCAAATGGTATATAGTATTTAATATTTTACATAGATTTTATATTTTTAACTGCAAATTTTATCACTTAATATTCACAAAAGGTTACAAGGTTTGAGGTATTTCCCTTATAAGGAAAAAGCTGGCAAGAGGAAGTTGTGCGAAGCTATATTGCACAGATGTGCAAAGCCCAGATCCGAAGTGAACGCAGACCAGACATATCCACTCTCCACTATATCATGCTGCTGTCCAGAACTTTGCACATAAGAAAGAGGCAAGGGGAGGGAGAGTATTAGGACAAATACCTAATGCATATGGGGCTTAAAACCTAGATGAGAGGTTGATACGTGCAGCAAACCACCATTGCATATGTATACCTGTGTAACAAACCTTCACGTAAAATAAAATAAAAAAAGAGGCTATATTGACAAAGGACTAATATTCAGAATCTACAAGGAACTCAAATAACTCAACAATAACAACAAAAAGCAAATAAACCCATTAAAAATTGGGCAAATGACACAGACATTTTGCAAAAGAAAACATACAAAGGGACAACAAACATATGAAAAATGTTCAACATCACTAATCAGAGAAATGCTTACTAAAATCACAATGAGATACCATCTCACACCTGTCAGAATGGCTATTATTAATACTAAAAAATAAAAAAAATTAACAGATGTTGGTGAGGATGTAGAGAAAAGGGAGTACTTATACACTGTTGATGGGAATGTAAATTAATACAACCTCTGTGGAAAACAGATGGAGATGTCGTAAAGAACTAAAAATAGATCTACCATTCAATCCAGCAATCCTACCACTGGGTATATACACAAAGGAAAATAAATCATTATATTAAACAGATACCTGCACCCATATGTTTATCACAGCACTATTCACAATAGCAAAGATATGGAATCAACCTAAATGTTCATCAACAGATGACTGGATAAAGAAAATGTGATAATGTGATATATACATATATATATACACACACACACACACACAAAGGAATACTACTGAGCCATAACAAAAGAACAAAATTATGTCTTTTGCAGCAACCTGGATGGAACTGCAGGCCATTATCTTAAGTCAAATAACTCAGAGACAGAAAGTCAAATACCACATGTTGTCACTTATAAGTCGGAGCTCAACAGTGGTTACCAATGGATATGGACATAGAGAGTGGAATAATAGACACTGAGGACTCAGAAGGGTGGGAGGATGTGGGAGTGAGAAATGAGAAGTTATTTGGTGGGTACAATGTGCTCTTAGGGTGATGGCTACACTCAAAGTCCAGGCTTCACTTCTCCATAATATATCCATGTAATAAAAAATGACACTTGTACTTCATAAATCTATTAAAAATTTTTAAAAAGAAGCAATAATGAATGAAAAATATCTTTCCAAGGCACCCTAGAAAAAAAATTCCTGGAAGACTTCCTAAAGATGAAGGGTCCATCTATCCATCCACTTATTTATACTGGGAGTAAATCTATCTTGTCAGTTTATAGATTATTTTTAAAGTACTGAAACAAATACTCTTTCTATCTCAAATCTTGTAATTTATTTTTAAAAGCATTTTAAAACATACTATTTTTCTTGGCAGTCAGCAGGTTGAAAAACAGAATTATTAAATTTTGACAAAAAGAATCAATCCTCAGAGAAAGTCTGAGTTATGATAAAAAATAGATAATAAATCAACAAATATTTATATTTTACCAAATCTAATGCATAGAAACAGTTTAAAGGAATTTTGCAAAAATTTTAACTATGTGAAGTCCTTCTTTCAGTTTCTCTTTTTTTAGTTCCCTTTCTCTTTCTTTTCCCAAATTGGCAATATGTCAGGGATACCTGAGGTCTCAGGTTAAAATCCTCTGATCTCAGGAAGATAAAGCTTCAAATCTGTCCATTTCTTAAAGGCAAAGAAGCCCTATCATTTCCACTTAACTAAATCCTAATCTAAAATTTACCTTAAAAATGAAACACACTTGTTTTGTACGCGAGGTAAATGTATAGGCACTGCTCCATTACCTAAACCTGATGCTCAAAAGTTTAAGTTCTCAGACATACTTCAGGGCATTAATGCATATGACTTACCAGCATAACTCCTCAAGCTTTTCTGTTAATACATTCATGAGCCCACAGAGGGCATATTATCACGTTTGCATATTCAGATCAGCTAATTTTTCTTAAATGGTGCATATTAAGACAACTGGGAACTGTTTAGAACATTTTATACACAGTTTGGGAACTATTACCCATCATTATATGCATTTAGAGTTGACTCTCCAGGCAGGCATTGGTACAGACAAGTTTGGTTTTTGACAGGTGCACATGATCAACCAATAGGTCACACTGCTTCGATCTTATCTATATTTTCCAACAGAGAAAGAGTTTAGCCTTTTCCTTATGCTGCTTTTAAGCCTGAGGGTAATACAGAAGACACATGATAATCACAGGAAATGCTTTCTCCTAAAATTTTTCCTAGGTTTTGTTAACAAATAAACAATAAGAGAGATAGGTATTTCCACATAGAGTACTGAAATGAAAAAAGAGAGCTGAGACATTTTCCTGTGAATACATATTTGTAACTGCTAACCCCCCCCAAAAAAGTAGACATGTATATAATGCTTTATAGTATATGTTGACATTTTATCAGGCCGTGAAAGAAATAGGATAGCCGAGCTAATAGAGCAGGCACTTTTCCCTTTACCTGAGACACAATGTTGCTTGCTGAAAGAAATGAACAATGTGCCACTGTGCTCTCCAAAATGATCTTAGCTCAAACTGTATAAAAGAGGGAAAAGTGAGGTGACTCAGGAAGGAAAGTGCTCGTTCCCTGCAAATGCATAGTTCAGTGTTCATTGTAAATACCAGCATATGCTTGGTAACATAAAGAGACTGCTGAGAACTGTTTAGACCACTAAGTATTGGGTGGAGGAATGAACGAGTCAATAAAATCTTCACAGTTCAAATCCAAATCAATCTGAATCCAGGTTGATACTACTCTCCATGTTGCTACCCGCATTAATCACCTGTCAGTCACCCAGACTGAAACTTCCAGTGATGACAGTCTTAGAAATTAGGGAAATTTCTCATGGATATTCTATTAAAATCTACCTATCGCTCAAGCATGATCAGGAGGATTAGGAATCACAAAGGTTTCACACCAAAGTGAGAAGGAGGAGAGAAGACCAGAAACAAGACAGTACTTCCCCAAAGTGGGGGACACACTATTTATTGGATGTCACTTTCTAGGCTGCCAGGTTTCTGTTGACAGGTGGCACTGAATCAAGAAAAGAGACTGACCTTTTCTGGGAGAAACTGAATTTCAGAATACCACAGAGAAGCCTTGAGAAAGACTTCTGGGCTATTGTAGGTCACGGTGGGGAGAGGGCAATGAATAAACTGGAGTTGGAATCTGTAGTCATATGCTGAATTTCAAGTCCAGCTCCAAACCATTCTCATTGTCCTCTTGTGCAAACCACCCTCCTTTCAAGATCACCCTTTCTTCTCTGCACTTGAACCCTCTGCACTCTTCTTCTTCTGAATACAGTGCCAAACCTTGTTAATTTTTCTTCCCAATTTTTATCTCATTTATGATGAAAAAATACCCCGAAGCTGAGAGTGGGATGAGATGGCATCCTCATTTCATTCTTTAGAAAATGAACTAAAGTAACAACCTCTTTAATTATTGATTTTCACAACTAAAAATCCATCAACATCATTTGTAATTTATTAAACACCTGTCTTTATTTATCACAATATTACTTGCTTGAAATTTTCTATCAGTGGAACCACTTCTGACACAGTCTATCCCCTGATTCCATCATAAACTTTTCCTAGGAATCAATTATTCCAGAAAGTCAACTAAGTTAGATTTGATTACAAAGACCAAACCTTTCAGAGGGGTTAATCCTCAAAGTGATCAATACATTCTTCGGTTGGTAAAATGAGGGCACTGGACTAGGAGAAGATTGCTAAGGCCTTTCCAAAAACGTGATTCTTTGACTCTAACAGATGCTAAATTGCAACTGGAAGATTGTCTTGGGGAAGAAAGAAAGCATAAATAACCTTGTTGGAAGAGGAAGAATGATACTCTAGATTGAAGTGAGAGCTTGCAGTGAGCATTTACCTTTCTAAGACATCAAATCGTGACCTATAGCCAAGGCAGGCTTAATCTTCCTCTATAGCTGCATCTTCTACCACCTTTGTTTTTCTCTCTTCCTTCCTTCCTTCCTTCCTTCCTCCCTCCTTTCCTCCCTTCCTCCCTTCCTCCCTCCCTTCCTTCCTCCCTCCCTCCCTCCCTTCCTTCCCTCCCTCCCTTCCTTCCCTCCCACCCTCTTCCCTCCCTTCCTCCCTCCCTTCCTTCCTTCCTTCCTTCCCTCCCTCCCTGCCTCCCTGCCTCCTTTCCTTCCTTCATTCGCTCTTTCCTTCCTTCCTTCCTTCCTTCCTTCCTTCCTTCCTTCCTACCTTCCTTCCCGTACATTTCATCATCATCATCATTTTAATTTTATCATCATTACCATCACTTATATTCCATCATTCCATCCATCCATTTGTTCATTCCATTCCATTATCATCATAACGTCCATAGCATCGTATCATTCATTAGTTAGAATATTTTCCATTCCATTATTGCCATTATTCATTCATTCCATGCATTTTATTCCATTCATTCCATTGCATTCCATTGATTGCATTCATTCCATTCATTTATCATTTATCTTTCTTCCCTCCGTCTCTCTTTTGTCTCTCCCTCCCCCGTTTTTGGGACGCTCTGTCACTGGGGCTGGAGTGCAGTGGTGCAATCATGGCTCACTGCAGCCTGAACCTCCTGAGCTCGAGAGGTCCTCTCACCTAGCCTCTTTTGTAGCTGTCCTTCCTTCCTTCCTTCCTTCCTTCCTTCCTTCCTTCCTTCCTTCCCTCTCTTCTCTTTCTTCCCCTCCCCGTCTCTCTTTGTCTCTCCCTCCCCCACGTTTTTTTTTGGAGACTCTGTCACTGAGGCTGGAGTGCAGTGGTGCAATCATGGCTCACTGCAGCCTGAACCTCCTGAGCTCGAGAGGTCCTCTCACCTCAGCCTCTTTTGTAGCTGGGACCACAGATGTGCACCACCACACCTAGATAAGTTCTACATTTTTTATAGAGATGGTGTCTCACAATGTTGCCCAGGCTAGTCTTGAACTCCTGGGCTCAAGGGATCCTCCTCTGGCCTCAGCCTCCCAAAGTGCTGGGATTCCAGGTGTGAGCCACAGCACAGGGCCATCCAGCACCGTTGCTACCTGCCACCGTTTCAAGCTTAGCTGCTCCAGATAACTTACAGTTCCCCAAAACACCATGCCTTGTCATGGCTTCCCACATGCCCTTTCCTCATCTCTTTCTGGAGCCTCTTTCTTGTTTCTCTGATCATAGCAGTGAGAGTGCCATTTTGGAAGACACCTGCAGCACACCCTGACCAGCAGAGTTCCCTGCCCAGTCCTTTGTGCCACCTTGGAACTTACTGCTAACTGAACACTTATTGTAACATTCTGTAAGTATTTAAGTTTTTCTTTATGAAATATTTCAAATACAAGACAAAAAATGATGAATATAATACTCTCCACCTGGGCATTATTTAGGTTTAGAAATGTTAACATTGTGTCCTACCTGCTTTAGTGTTTCAAAAATAATGTAAAGGAATACAAATTACAGATATAGCCGAACATCACGGATGCTCCCTTTTCCCACACCTTTTCCCGGAGGCAAGTACTACCCTGAAGTTAATGTTTGTGTATCCTGTTGTACTTTTACCATATAGGTATGCATTTGCAAGCATTAATATAAAATATTTCTTCATAGGCTTCCAATGTCCATACGTGGTATCACACTTTAAGAATCATTTGTAACATTCTACATTTAATTCAACATTATGTTTGCTTTTTTGTTTTTTGTTTTTTGAGACAGAGTCTCGCTCTATCACCCAGGCTGGAGTGCAGTGGCGCCATCTCAGATCTCTGCAACCTCCACCTCTGGGATTCAAGCAATTCTCTGCCTCAGCCTCCCGAGTAGCTGGGATTACAGGCGCCTGACACCATGCCCGACTAATTTTTGTATTTTGTTAGTAGAGACAGGGTTTCACCATCTTGGTCAGGTTGGTCTTGAACTCCTGATCTCGTGATCCACCCACCTTGGCTTCCCAAAAGTGCTGGGATTACAGGCATGAGCCACCACGCCCAGTCTCAACATGTTTTAAGATTATTGCATGTTGGTTCATGTAAATCTAGTTCATTCATATTTCCCGCTGCATTAGTATTCCAATAGATGATTATATCACAAGATTCTTCAACCCTCACAGAGGGTTTTTTAGTTGGTATGTAAATTTTTGGCAATGACAATCCTCCAGTGAGCATCCTGATCAATTCTCTTTTGTACCCATGTGCAAAGGTTTCTCTAAAGAATATAAGTAGAATTGAAACAGCTGTGTCATGGGGTATGCGCAACTTTAGCTTAACTAGAGATTGACAGACAGCTCTTAAAGTGATCGTAACAATTACCATCTCATCAACAGTGTATGAAAGTTTCTCTTTCCACTTCATCATTACTTGGTATTACCATTATTTCATTTGGGTTTTCAGAATGCTGGATGATTTAATTCCTATATCTCGATTATCTGCGGAGTATTCAGGTTTCTCTGTCTACAAATTACTTGCTCATATTTTGTCCACTTGTATATTGAGTTTTTTTTTTTCCTCATTGATTTATATAGACTCTTTTCTTCTGGTATAACCATTGTTGTTGGCTTTATGTGTAGTGCCAGTCTTTCAGTCATAATTTTGTTTCTGAGTCCTTTGTCATATAAAGATTTTTTTAAAGTTAAACTTACCAGTTGTTGATTTGATGTTTTTGTGCTGTCTTGGGACTTTTTCTTTTCTGTTTTTTTTTGAACAGGTCTTGCTCTGTCGCCCAGGCCAGAGTGCAGTGGCAATATCATAGCTCATGGCAGCCCTGAACTCCAGGATTCAGACAATCCTCTTGCCTCAGTCTCTCGAGTAAGTTGGGACCAGAGGTGTGCACCACCACACCTGGCCAATTTTTCTTTAAGTAGAGATGAGATCTCGCTATGTTGTCCAGGCAGGTCTCTAACTCCTGAGCTCAAGCAATTCCTCTGCCTCAGCCTCCCTAAGTGCTGGGATTACAGGCATGAGCCACTGTGCCTTGCCTATTTTTGGACTTTTAAATAAATTCTTTTCTATGACGAGGTTATGCAATCTTCACCTATATTCTCCTTTTAAAGTTTCAATGCTTTGCTTTACATATTTAGGTTGTTAATCCATCTGGAATTTGTTTTTATATAAGACGTGAGCCAGAAAGCCAATTTATTTTTTACAATATGGAAAAAAATTTTTTTCCCGAGTACTGCTTATTGCAAAGTTTATTTTTTCTATACTGATTTATAAAGCTACTTTTGTGATATATCAATGAGCCGAGTTATACTGAATATTTTAAATATATTTTTATGTATAAGTCCTGGTGTTCTTTGCACACTAGGGTAACTATAGTTAATAATAATGTGTTGCATATTTCAAAATAGCTAGAAGAGAGGATTTTGAATATGCTAGCCACAAAAAATGATACATGTTTGAGGTGATGGATATGCTAATTATCCTGACTTAGTCATCACACAATGTATAAGTGTATTGAAGCATCTCATTTGTACCCCATAAATACATGGAACTATTATGTGTCAGTTAAAAATAGAATAAAACTTGAAAAAATGGCAGGCAGAAGAATAAAAACTCTCTTTTTCCCATCCCCCATATATTTATTTATATATAAATATATACAATACATATTTACTTTAAATATATATTTACTTATATATAATATAGATTTACTTATATATAAAATATAGATTTACTTATATACAAATATATAATATAGATTTACTTATATATAGATTTACTTATATACTAACATACAATATATATTTACTTATATGTAAATATATAATATGTAATATATATTTATTATATAATAAATCATATATAAATGTATTAGAAACTTATGTATTATAAACTTATAATATATAAATATATGATATATAAATATAATATATATAAATCATATATAAATGTATTATAAGTTTATAATACATTTATTATTATGTTTTTTTGAGACAGCGTTTCGCTCTTGTTGCCCGGGCTGGAGTGCAATGGAGTGCAGTGAGCGGGTGATCTCAGCTCACTGCAACCTCCACCTCCCAGGTTCAGGCGATTCTCCTGCCTCAGCCTCCCAAGTAGCTGGGATTAATGGCATGTACCACCATGCCTGGCTAATTTTGTGCTTTTAGTAGAGACGAGGTTTCACCATGTTGGTCAGGCTGGTCTCAAACTCCTGACCTCAGGTGATCCGCCTGCCTTGGCCTTCCAAAGTGCTGGGATCACAGGAGTGAGCCATCGCAACTGGTGATACATTTATAAATTTTAGAAATTTACCAAATAGTTTGCTGACTTGGGTTAAAATATTATATTTAGAATTTCTGAATTTAATTTATGTTCATAAATTAGATTGATCTGTACGTTTTCTCTCTTACATGGTCCTTCTCCAGTTTTTAGATCAAGGGTTGTATTACTCTAATAAAAAGATTTGTTAAACATTCCTTCTCTTTCTATTGTCTTGAAAAGTTTATGTAAAATAGAGGTCACATATTTAGTCTCTGGAATAGCTTATATAAGTTAAGGGTAACCCTTCTTAAATGTTTATTAAAAGTCATCAGCCTAATTGATTTTTACTGTAGATCTGATTTCTTCAGTGATTGTTGTGATTTATTTTCTATTGCTTCTTCAGTCAATATTGGTAGTTTATAGTTCATCTAGAAAATTTTCCATTTTATTTAAGTTTTCCAATTTACTTGCAAGAAGTTGATCATAATATTTCCTTCAGATATTTTAAAATTATCTGTTAACTGTGCCCCTCCAATACTCTATGTTTGTGCCTTCTTTTGTTTTGTTTTTGATGGCTCTTGCCAGAGATCTGCCTGTTTTATTAACATTTTCAAAACAAGAAACTTTTTGTTTTCTTTGATCTTTGAGTGTCGATTGTATCTTGGATTTTCTTTCCATTAATTTCATCTCTTATTTCTATAATTTCTTTCTTCAGTCTTTGGGATAGTGCTGCTGTATCTTCTCTTATTTACTGAGTTGACTGTGTGACTAATTCACTTTAAATATTACCGATTTCCTAACATATGCATGCAAGGCTACAGATTTCTCTCAAAGTACTACTTGCAAATCTCATGTATTTTGTAAGTAGTTTTAAGTTATCGTTCAATTCTAAATATTTCATATTTAGAAATGATTTACTTTTGATGTATGAATTTCTTAGGTAGTTATTTAATTCCAAACATATGTTTTAAGCAATATCTTTGACATATATATCACTTTATTGCTATTTTTTAGAGAAAATACTTTGCATATTAATAGTTCGGAATTTACTAACTTTTTTATGATCTAGCTTGTAACTAGTTTTCTTTCGGGTCCATACATTATTTCAAAAAATATGTAGGCTTCAATTGTTAATGTGTACATTACAGAAAACATGTTACTTGAGTTGTTTAAATCTCCACTAAAATTACTAAGCTAACTAATGTATAAGTTACTGTGAAAAGTGTGTTTTAAAAAATATTCATTTATAATTTTGGATTAGTTTTCCCTTGTAATTTTAATCATTTATGCATTTTATATTTGGAGGCTATTTTGTTAAATTTTTATATCTTCTTATGAGATATTCCTTTTGTCATTATTAATGAAATTATTACGTATTAATCATTTATCATTAAGTATTAATACATAATTATTTATCTATAATCACTTACCATTAAGTACTGATACATAATTAAGTATTAACGAGTATCATTAAGTAACAATTTTCCTTATCTTTAATATTGTCGTTAGCTTTAAAATCTATTTTATTTAATAGTAATGTTGGTATGCTAGCTTGATTTACTTTTGGTTAATATTTGTCTATTGTATCATTGGTGCATCGTGGTTTTTTCCTACTTTTAGCATAGAAGTTCAATCTATTTATAGTTGTTGTGACTCATTTGTTCCATATTATTTTGGTTTTCCATTTGTCTTTTCACCTCTTGATCTCTGACT